TCCCCCCCCCCCACACACACACACATAGGACATTGGGCCATATGGGTTTTTCACCCGTAGAAGATGTGAACGTGGAGAGGTAGAGAGGAACGTCGACGAAGAGGTGGAAGTAAATGATGGAAATGGGAACGATTTAAGTAACATTGAGAAAGCATAGGAAGTTAAGAACAAGATAAACAGATGGCAAAGAAGTCACCAAAGATAACGGGAATGTGTTGTAAAGGTGATGGTATGGTTATTGTTTGGTAATGGCTTCAGAGGCATTTATGAAATTATATTGAAGTGCTGTAGGTATCATAGTATACGAGTAGATTAAGTCTTTGTAATGCTTAGACGGTAGTGAAACAATAATGGTAGAGGTTGAGTGTGGTGGGAAAATTGAGTGGTAATGGCCATTTAGAAGTGCAATAGTGGTAGTATTGGTAGAGTGCTAGTAGAGTTGGTAGAGTGGCGGCGATGAGAGGCAAGACGTGGTGGTGGTGGTGGTGGGAGGGGGGTTTGAGTAGTGTAATGGTAATAGTCGATTTATTGTGGTGGTTGCATCTTACACCTAGTAGAAACTATTTGTTTTACGTGGATATTGTAAAATGTAGGAATTGTTCACGGAATTCCGAGCATAAGAGAGGGCGATAAATTGAAAGTGCGGTGGAACAAAGAAGATGAGCGGAAAGATGATCGATTGCACGCGTGTGGGTGTTAAGCTGATGATGAGGATGCAGACACGAAGAGAAAATGCGCGTTGAGGCGAAGGCAATGGAGCGCGGCAACGCTGCAATGACGAGGTCGAGGATTTGCCGAAGGGAGCCTCATCGGCGCTTGATGCCTTTGTCTTCTGCTAGGAGGCAAATTGAGTCGTACTCTTCCGTTCTTCTTTCCGAGCCGCGTGACAAATTGGTTTTCTCTGAAAGAAGATGTGAGGCGGATTCGAAGAAATATGGCGGATGAGGTGCATTGTATTCTTGAGAATGATGAAAAGAACGGGCTTCCTCGCATTGGAAGTCGTATAATGTTTTGTTCAGGGTAATTCTGTGTTCGTATTCGTTGCTTTCCCTCCTCCCCCCTCCAGCCCTCTTATTATCTCGTGGAGAGCGGATAAAAACAGGATATCTTTTCCTGCTTGGAATTTATCAAGAAATGTTAGTATGCTTTGTATCTAACCATAAATTATTGAATTATCATAATAATTTTATCGTAATAGAGTCAAATACATTTTCATATTCCAGAAAGTGTTTCGTCTATATTTTGGCGTAAAACAACTGAAATGATTTTTCAAAATTCATATCCTGGGGCTCTATTATTCACAAACGCACCCCATCCCTTATAGCCACGGGTCGGTGATGGAGTTGGATAAATGATAATTAAAGGCAGTGAATTGTCTTAGAATTTCCAAAAATGTACACATCGAAAAGCTCATGAAAAACCAAGATTTGATTTAAAACATTATTTGCCATTGTCGTATTTGTAATAACTTCTACTGCCAGGATATAAATTTCAAAAATATCGTTTACATTTACTTTTATTTTTCTGATATCATGTGTTTTTCTCGAAATATCCCCATTTTTTTTATTTTAACCAATTTCATTTCTGCCAATTACAGTGGCATCTGTCTGCCAGAATGACATTAATCTTAGGTCAAATTGCGTTAATTTTTTCTCGGGAATTGAAATGCGTAATAAAAAATGGGGATTCCTATATAAAAAATGTTCTCCCACTCCCCCACTTCCAGGGGCTGTGGGTAGAAGGTGGAGTAGGAAATGTAGTGGATGTTCCCTGACGAAACAAACAATTTTTATTACCCAGTTTGAAACCGATGAGTAGATTTCGAGATATTTTCTACGATATATTAAAATGGCCAACCTTATATAGTGAATTCACACGAAATATAACAATATTATTATCACGAATACACGGATTATTTGTATGTGTTACTCAATAGACTGGAACCGGAAACACGAGAAATACGACGTACAAAGTGGTGCACTTACTTGAAGGTGGTCATAAGCCATAAGGTGAACAAACGCCAGTTCGACGTCTA